CTCCCCCTGTGTGTGTGTACACACACACACACACACACACACATACACTCTTTTTCTCTCTCTCTCTCTCTGCCAAATAAATAAATAAATAATCTTAAATGTAGCTTTAAAAAAAAATCATTTTCCGGGGCACTGAGGTGGCTCAGTTAAGCGTCTGGCTCTTGGTTTTAGCTCAGGTCATGATCTCAGGGTCCTGGGATGGAGCCCTGGGTCTGGCTCCGTGCTCAGCGGGGTCCGCTCGAGGTGGTTTCTCTTCCTCTTCTGCCCCTTCTTCTGCTCGTGCGCATGCGCTCTCTCTTGCTCTTTCTAAAATAAGTGAGTCTTTTAAAAACTCCTTTTCCTGCACATAAAAATAACATTTTCTACCTTGTTTCCTCTCCACAGAAAACAAAACAAAACAAAAAAAACAGGAAACAAAGTATTTTTGTGGAAGTAAACTTAGAAAATAAAGGTGAAATGACTCCTGATCCGTTGCAGAGATAAGCCTTGTTAACCTTTGGCTGTGTTTCCAGCTTGTCTTTAGTTAACGCGTCTGTCCGTTTATTGAGCATCTGCTATATGCCAGGCCGAGGTGACCGTTTGAGACAAGACAAATTCCCTCTCTGGTGGAAGTTGGGATTTAGTGGGGACCTTCAGTAAACCTGACAGATAACTTCGGCATGAAGAGGAGACACAAAGGAGGTAGGGGGAGGGTGCTGGGGAGACGGGCCGTGAGGGCGGTCGTGGAAGGCTCTCAGAAGAGGTGACACCTTGCTGTACTTAACTCGTTCCATTGCAGTTTTATCATATATACAATTTGATGACGTTTTCCCTCCTTAACCTTATGTTGCAAGCATTTTCCCCTAGTACTCTTTGAAAACATGATTTTTAAGAATTATAGAATTTCCCATCATATGGACAGACGGAACTGGATCCAACCAGCTTACTCTTGCTGGGTATTATTTAGGAAGTTTCCAGTTTTGTGTTCTTCTTTTCCTGTAGCCCTCCTTCGTTCTTCAGGGCAGGCTCACAGAGGTAGACTCGAGAGGGCGAGCTCACTTCGCTGTGGCCTTGGCTTCTCCTGGGTCCCCTGGCTCCATTTTTGGTGCTTCCATTCAGACTCCTTGCCCCCTGAAGCCCTTCTCTTTCCAAGCACTCACTCTTGTTTTCTACTCTTGAGGATCGCTGCCCGCAAAGTGGAGGGGCTTCAGGAATGCCCTGGGGTTGGGTCCCAGGCAGTGGCAAGCTCTGGCAGGCACAAGATCCATCCTTGGAGACTTCCTAGGTCTACAAACAGGGAGCAGATGGGGCCAGCTATCCAGAGGCCGCCTGGCTTAGCCCTCCATCAGATGCCATCTGATTATCCCCCAGCCTGGGTGGCAGTGTCCTGCCCAGGCACATCTCTCTGTGATGATGACTCAGTGGCCAAGGGTGACTCAGACTTCATCTTATCATACTTTACAGCAGAGTTAAATCCCATCGCCTGCCCCCAGTCAGTTAATCTACAGTGGGTAGGAGATTGGTTCACCGCTGGCAGTTCAGAAGAGATGGCGTAGCTGTGTCCAGGAAGCCAGAAGCCCACCAGACCGTGACATAGGCCTTCCCATCTTCTGGGACTTCGGGCAACTTACTCAACGGCCTCAGCTTCCACTAAAATCAGGGTGGTGGTACCACTTCCTGGGGTTCAGTCGTGTTCCCAGCACGTGTCCAGTGAGCGTCCAGTCGCAGGTGCCTGGGATGCTGCAGTAAACCAGAGAGCGGGGCCTTGCCTTGTGGTGTCGTGACAGGGACGGCACAAGTACGGAAGGCAGTCCGCTGGACGCCCCAGGATGTGCTGAGGTAGTATCAGCAGGCCAGGTCTCTGCGTGTCCCATAGGGAGGCACCTCTCTGTCAGAGTGCCTTGTCTCCCTTGCCTCATGATTGCGGGAGTGACCCTCAGCTGCTTCCTTCCCTCAGAGGTGCTCTGAGCCACAGTTGGGTCCCTGAACTGCGGAAGTCCATGGTAGGCGACATCTCAGGGAGCCAACTGCCCAGCCTCCAGCCCTCTGCAGTACAGCCCCTCTCCCCAGCTCAGTGCTCTAAGCTCTTCCAACGGTACTCGTGGAGTGCTTCTTGACCAGGCACCAAGGACCTGTGGGAACAAGATGGCCACAGTCTTGACCTTAAGGCACCTGCCTTCTAGTGGGGCTTGGCAGCTAGTGAGCAAGAAAACAAACCTGCCAGGGTGGTTTCTCAAGGTTCTAGGCCATATGAAGAAAATTGCAGAGATGCGGGGACTGCCCTGGATGTGGTCGGAGTGGGATATTCCGGGGGACCCTTACTGGTGAGGGTGCAGTGACGTGTTGGTTACCAGCCCAAGGGAGGCAGCATGTGAAAATCTGGGCCCGGAAGGTCCCAGGAAGGGCTGAGGCTGTGGGTGCCAGAGAAGGACCAGACGGCGCAGGGCTGTGAAGATGTCAAAGGGGAATTTGGATTTTATTCTGAACGCAGGGAGAAGTCCCTAGAGGCTGAATGGATAAAACTTCTAAAGATATTTTCCTATAGCAGGACTCAAACTGACCCAGGTACCGTGAGGGAGGGTGGCAGTGCCAGACCTGGGCAGACTCCTGCCTCTGGAAGAGGCATGTCCCTGCCAGCCCCCACCTGTCCCCCGCTTCCTGTAGCATTTAAGTAAATTACACTGCATCCGTAAGGTAGCACACTGCACAGCCATTAAATGACACAGTGGTTGTAGATCTGTTGGCATGGAAAGATGTTCCGAGTCCATTGCTGAATGAAAACAGCTGACTTACAAACAGGAAACTACCACATTTTTATTAAATGTTCACGTGTATCCACATTTTTTTAAAAGATTTTATTTATTCATTTGGCAGAGAAACAGCGAGAGAGGGAACAGAAGCAGGGGGGTGGGAAAGAGAGGAACAGGCTTCCCACCGAGCAGGGAACCTGATGTGGGGCTGGATCCCAGGACCCTGAGATCATGACCTGAGCCAAAGGCAGAGGCTTAACCCACTGAGTCACCCAGGCGCCCCTATATTCACGTATTTTGAAGTTGAGGAAAGGAAAAGCAAATGTTAGATGGATGGTAGGATTAAATTGGTTTATAATTTGGCTTCTAGTACTTTTAACAGCTTTATTGAGATAACTGATATATAATAAGCTGTACATCTTTAAAGGATAGTTTGATAAGTTTTGGCATATATACATGTGTGAAATCATCACCTGACCTATGTTTTTTAATTTTTTTTTTTAAAGATTTTACTTATTCATTTGATAGAGAAAGACAGGAGAACGGGAACACAAGCAGGGGGAATGGAAAGGGGAGAATCAGGCTTCCTGCTGAGCAGGGAGCCCGATGTGGGCCTCAATCCCAGAACCCTGGGATCATGACCTGAGCTGAAGGCAGACGCTTAACCAACTGAGCCACCCAGGCACCCCTGTTTAATTCTGTAAACTGATATGGGCTTTATTTTTTGGTTGGGGTTGGTCTTTTTGGTTGTGTTTTTGCTTAAAAAAAAAAAACCATATTAACCATTTAACTGGCTGAACCAAGGAGGAAAGGGTTGGTACTCGCTTCCTGAAGGCTAGGCTCTGGCAGGCAGGTGGGCCTTCAGGAGCCTTGAAGGGGTGGATACCAGAATGGACTTTGGATCCCTTGTCCCTGGGACAAAGTGGGCAGAGGCGCTGGGAGGGGAGGTGGGAGAATGCACAGGCCTCAGGCATCCTGTCTCCTCTTGTTCTTCCCCAGGAGGCCTCTGCAACCTGTGCCCAGACAGGGCGAACAAGGAGCACATCCTGCAGACAGGGGGCGTCCCACTCATCATCAACTGCCTGTCCAGTCCCAACGAGGAGACCGTGCTATCTGCTGTGACCACGATCATGTACCTGAGCTCCCCAGGCTCCGGCTCCCCCCCTGAGCTGACCACCATGCCCGTGGTGCAGTGCATGCTGCGCTTCTCTCTCTCAGCCAACACGAGGCTCCGCAACCTGGCCCAGATCTTCCTGGAAGACTTCTGTTCCCCAAGCCAGGTGGCGGAGGCCCGCACCTGGCAGGCCCACTCTGCCCTGGGGATCCCACTGCCAAGGACTGAGGCCCCACAGTAGCCCAGATCCAGGGAGACCTCGCAGCCATGACGCCCTGTTAGAGATGAGGCCACAATCCTGGTGGGGGCTCGGAGAGCAGGAGCTGCCTGGCTCCCGCTGAGCATTTTTCCCCAGAGGTGCCCTTTTGGCTATTTTAAAGGTGAGTTTTCTCAGCGTGACAGGTATTTACACTGTGGTGAGGGGCACTGAGAGAGGAGGCCAGGCTTTGGGATACAAGGAAGAGCACAAAGGCAGTGCCATTTCCATAGGTTGGCTGTCAACCCGCTGGAGGTCAAGCTCCTGCCTCGCCCCCTCCCCGCAGTGCCTCACTGCCAGGGCATCAACATCACGTGAGAAGCAGTTGGGACCCTAGATTCAGAGGCTTTAAAGGAAGGAGCTTTTCATGAAGAACAGCTGGGCCTGGGATTAGACTTGCTTGTGCTTGAGGAAACAGGAATTTTCCTTTAACAGAAGTATCTGAAATAATCTTGAAGAATGGAAATGAGAAGCCAGCTTGGGGCTCCGAGAAGGTGTCATGCCCACTCCAGGGCTACAGAGGCTGGGTACCTGTACTACAAGCTCCCCTGGCTGGATACTGGGTATGGTTGATGCCGGCCTGGAGAATTCTGTGGCCTGGGATCAACATTTTATCCACAGCAGTCTATCTGATGGGACCCCCATGGAAAGTTAAGAGTTCAGGAGCAGTGGGGAGCTTCATGGCCTCCCTTTTGCACTCCCTCAAGGTTGACCTCTAACATAGCCAAGGAAAAGCAGATGCAAGAGAGGTGGTGTCTGGTTGTGAAGGTGGGTCAGGTTCTGGAGCCACTGGACTATGGACAGGAGGAGGGAGGAGAAAGCCTCCTGTCAGCCTGTATTCCACCTGCCCCTCCCAGGGCTCCTGTCCCTTTACCTTCCCAAATAAAGGGCCTTTAAGGAATGCTGAGCCAAAGTGTTTTATTAAAAAGGTTCCTGAGTGATTTTCCCACCATGTTTCCTTGCCAGCCGTCTTGTTGGGTTCCAGGTGGCTGGCTTGCGAGAATGGAGGTTACTGTGTCTCCCTGTTCTGCAGTGCTGGGGGCCACCACCACGACACTGCCCTGTCGTTCAGCTCTGCTAGAGTTCCCTGCTGGCCTGCCTTTCCTTCCTTCAGCTACTATCCACTGTTCTGGCCCCCCGCTTGCTTTCTATGATCTCCCTCCAGTTGTCACTCCAGGAGAGCAGCCGTCTCCTTGTTGGGGGTAGGGCTAGGTGCTGGTTGTGGCAGCAGGTGAATAAGATGTGCTCCCAGCTTGGGGTCTCTTCTTGGCCTGGGACAGGACATGGGAGAAAGGCAGTGAGACGTAGTCTGTAATCTGGTTGTTTTTTTTTTAATATTTTATTTATTTATTTGATAGAGAGAGATCACAAGTAGGCAGAGAGGCAGGCAGAGAGAGGGGGAAGAAGCAGGCTCCCTGCTGAGCAGAGAGCCCCATGCGGGGCTCGATCCCAGGACCCTGAGATCATGACCTGAGCGGAAGGCAGAGGCTTTAACCCACTGAGCCACCCAGGCGCCCCTGTAATCTGGTTATTTTACTCCCTCTCCCTAATCCCAGCAGGCCAGATGCCTAGAAGGTTGCCAGAAAAAGAGGTCTAAAACTAACCTTGAATGCTGTCCTTGTCATCAATGAGCAGGTCCCCCAAGACCACCGTCTTGTCCCTCGTCAGGATGATGCGCTCCACAAACTGGGGCCCCAGGTATTTCTCTACCCAGCGGTACTGTGGTGAGGACACAAGTCTGTCAGTAGGGCCAGTGAGTAAATACGTGCTAGTGGAGTCTCCAGCCTTTGAGAGATGCTGCTCCCCGCCCACCACCACCACACTTCCTGTGTTTCAGTGCTGCTGGTTTATTTTAAACATCAGAACTTAGGAATCTGTTTGCTAGGAAGGGTTGGGGTAACCGCACCTTCTCACCCACACAGTGTTGGTACTTCAGCAGAGGGCTGGAGCAGATGAAGACCTCCGTGCTGGGTGCAAGGGGCACGGGTTAGTTGGGGTGGTGCCCGCCCTTCCTCCACCGCCCTCCCTCTCTGCCCTTCCTCACTCCTGCATGTTGTTCATCTCCAGCATGGCTTCCAAGGCTCCAGGGATAGGCTCCAAGTCTAGGAAAAAGCCTGGGGCTTCATACACACTGGCCACTTTGTCCTGAAAGATACCGTGTTCTTGTCCCAGCTTCTACCTCCAGCAGATCTAGCCCCAGGGATGACTCTCACAGTAAGACTCCTGGGGGACCCGTCGGCAAATCAGAGCCACCGGGAGAGGATTTTGCATCCGGGGAAGCATTCTTTCAGATTTTCTTGTCCAGGGCGAACAATGGATTCTGAAGCGAGGGTTTTGCTAAACAAAAAGGGGGTGATTCTGGAAATGGAGCAGAGGCAGTCTTGCCCAAGGGGAGGGCTCCCATTCCTAGGTGCCCTGTGGGCTCGGGCTCCCTGCTTTGGGGACACTGTGGGGTCGGGGCTCTTGCTCCTGGCGACAATGTGGGGTCGGGGTTCCCGCTCCCAGGGACATTGTGTGGTCGGGGCACCTGGTTCCCCGGCTCTCTGTGGGTGGGGACGCCTGGCTCCTGGGCGCCCTGTGGGGTCGGGGCTTCCGCTCCCGGGGTCACCGTGGGGTCGGGGCTCCCCTCCCGCCCACGACCCCTCCCCCGCTGCGCTCCCGCCCTCTCCCTACCTACCCCCAGGTCCGGCCGCAGGGCTCGGTACTGTTCGCGGGCGAGGAAGCCTCGGCGCTCTTCCAGCGCCACGTGCGGTTCCCCGGGGAAGCGGCGGCGGAAGCCCCGCAGAAGGCCCCCCTCGAAGTCGGCCAGCACGCCGTCCATGTCCACCAGCACCCGCACGGGCCGCGCGCGCCGCGCCGCCATCGCCGCCGCCATCACTGCGGGCGCCCGGCAAGGGAAGGACGGGGTGGGGGGGAGGGGGAGCGGGCGCCCGGCCCGCAACTTCCGGAGGCGCGGGGTGGGCGGGCGCATCGGGGCTCATTTGCATGGGGCGCCCCGGGGACCGGCCCTGAGGGAGCGCGCGGCCTTCCCCCGGTTGCGGAGGCGCGGGGCGGCCTGAGCACGCGCCCGCGTGCACGTCTGCCGCCCCCGACTCCGCAGTGGACGACCCCAGACCCTGCGAAGGCCTCAGGGCTCCTTAAACCTGTGGGGCTGGCGCGAGCCCCAGAATCCCGACTTCGAGGCCTCGGGCCGCCGCCCTCCCTGCTTGTGGCGCCGGGCGCAGGAGCACGCGGGACGCGGGGCCGGAGCCTCCAGGGCCCGGAGCCTCCAGGGCCCGCAGCCTCCAGGGCCCGCCTCACGGGGGCGCCCAGCGCCTCTGAAGGGAAAGGACGGCTGAAGGGGGCGGGGCTCCCGGGACACAAACTCCGGCCGGAGTCGGGAGCGGCCGCTGTGAACGTCCAGTTCCACCCCGAGGGGACGACAGGCACCCAGCTCAGGTAATCGGGAGCGTCCTTTCTGCGGGAGGGACCTCTGCTCCGGAGTGGGGCGTTACAGCCCCATCTGGAGAACGTGGAGCGCTGCCAAGTTTTGTTGATGCTGCTTTGTAGGCTTTACGCCGTTTTCTGACTGTGTCCAAATAGATTTACCTGCGACTGTAAACTCGGGTTGGGTTAGGAGAGCGTCTCCCCGCAGTTTCCCACTGAGCGCCCCAGTGCTTCCAAACCAGTGTTAACAGAAGCATTGCAGACGAGAGACTAGTGTCGTGTTCTAGAGCGATCTGATGAAAATGGCATAAGCAATAGGGAGTCCGCCACTGTTTTCCCCTCCTTCCCACTCACGTCACACAACCTGAGTCCCAAAGTCCAGACTGTCCACGAGATACTGCTTGTTTTGCCCTCGTCATTTTATGATTATTCGACTCCACTTTCAAGACCGTAAGCTAAGTAGAAAATGTAACACCCTTGGTAAACATGTTTACATAGAACTTCCTGAAATCTGTTTTGATATCAGAATGACTGGGAGAACTTCCCTCCTTCACAATACTTGACTTTGGATGAGACACTTATCTTAAAAACAAAACAAAACAAAAAACACTGAAGTTACGAATTGTGACACAAATCAGAGACGTCTCTTTTCCAGGATCCCCACCATTAGGGAGAAGGGTACAGGTAGGGTTCCTACCTCCTGAGTGTCCTAATAGAAACTGTAACTCAGGCTAGTGTTTGTAGGGCTAAACTGTTTTAGTGAAATTGGACAGATCCTGTAACAAAGCTGTTGACTTCTCCATTTTGCAAATGCTTTGCACCATAAGGGAGAAAAACTTAACACCCCCAGAACCTATAAACACCTTTATTTTCCCAAAGAAATATCCAGGAGTTCCAGTGAACCGGTGGTTATGCTTATCATCTCAAAAATCTCACTTTTTCAGAAAGGAAATTGGTCCCTAAATTACAAGACAAAAACCACAATTTAGTAGTGTAGCTAGACCTAAAAGCCAAGTCTTAATGCCCAATTAGGACATTTAATATAGCATGTTGACCTAGAACTTTCTGCCTAGAACCCAAGAGTTTTTTCCTTATCTTCTGTCTCCTCAGATCCTCGTCCCTCTTTCTTTGGCGTCCTCTTCTGTAACCTCGCACCACTGGGAGGCACCCTGCAAGATGAGAGGACGTAAAATCTTACATGTTACTGCCCGGCACAAAGGGTAGGTGGAGAATGTAAAATATAGTGGCTAATAATTGTTTTATCATTTACCCATACTACTCATGGATTTTATTACCATACATACCATTTTGGTGCTTTGAACTCCTGCTGTGACTTTAAATCTATTTTTTTATTTTATTTTTTTTTAAAGATTTTTAATTATTTATTTGACAGAGAGGTCACAAGTAGACAGAGAAGGAGGCAGAGAGAGAGGAGGAAGCAGGCTCCCCGCTGAGCAGAGAGCCTGATGTGGGGCTCGATCCCAGGACCCTGGGATGATAACCCGAGCGGAAGGCAGAGGCTTTAACCCACTGAGCCACCCAGGCTCCCCAAATCTGTTTTTCTTTTTAAGATTTTATATATTTCTTTGATGGAGACAGCGAGAGAGGGAACACAAGCAGGGGGAGTGGGAGAGGGAGAAGCAGGCTTCCCACCAAGCAGGGAGCCCAGTGTGGGGCTCAACCCCAGGGTCCTGCGATCATGACCTGAGCTGAAGGCAGACGCTTAACGACTGACCCATCCAGGAGCCCCTAAACCTATTTTCTTTAGAGAGAAGCCCACTTCTCTGGGTTTTCATTAGTTTGTCTTCACTTGAATGACTCATCATTAATCCTTGGGCAACAGGATTTAGAGTAACAGAGAAAAAAGCAACTAAACAGGGAGAACATTGAAACAGTCTCAAAAAGATGACACAGGACACAATGTTTCAAAATTTGTACATTGTTTACTTTAAGCAACAGTCCAGGATTGTGAAGTACAACACACATTTCAAGGATACTTCAGTTCACGGTCAAGCACCAGCATCATGCACACAGCTTCAAGTTCCCGAAGAAGAGCGCTGCCCCCCTGGGGTCTGTTCACCACAAAGACCCACTTCTGTGTGGTCACCGCCCTTGCTTTGCTTACCACTTGGAATTTGTCAGCTTGAGCGTACATGGAAGCCTTCCTCTGCGTGAGAGCAGCGGGCTTAGCTCGTCAGTTAGTTGAGTTAGTATCTGGCTTATCTCTTAAGGTTCAAAAATGAAAAAGGCAGTTTTTTGCTTGGCAGGCAGCAAGGCATGAGGCGCAGGCCTCTAGTTTCCATATGGCACAGGGAGATGCTTTTAGCAAAGGCCACTGACAAGGTAGGCCAACAACGAGTAGGTATGGCATAAAGACAACCCTGTGTTTGGGGGCCTGAAGGAACGGTGCCTGTGGACTGTTTACTGGTCTTTCCAGTCAAGGCTTGGTCAACCCAAGTAAAGCTGACAAGAAAAGGGTTTTAAAAACCTCAGTACAAAAGATCCTCTAACACATTGGAACCAAATTGTTCTTAAAAACACTGTACTAAGTGTCACAAAACTTTCCCTCCAATCTACTACTAGAAAACACTCATGCCATGGCCTACAGACCCAGAGGAATCAGGACAGAGAGAGAGAAACCTGTTCTTTGGGGGAGGAGAGGGGAGAAAAAAAAAGACAGCAGTACATAAAGTGCTTCTTTTTTAATGAAACAAATCCAAAAGATGTACAGTCAGGCTCAAGTTGTGCAGTTCACAAGCATGGAGGAAACAAAAACAAACAAAACGACAGAGTTCAAGAGAATCGGAGCTAACCCAGGACGAGGCTGGACTTGCCGCCGGGGGGATTTCTTCGGGACGGCACTGGGGCCGGAGCCACTGGGCTGGGCACAGGGGCAGCGGGCACAGGCTTCTCCTCACTCTGCCCCAGGCTGGCCTGCAAGTCTGTGTCCACGTTTTCTAGGAAAACAGAAGAAACTTAGGGCTAATAATTATTTCTAGGTAGAATAAAGAATCTTAAGATTTTCTTGAAGGATGGTTCAGATCATACCTAGAGGTATCAAAGCATACACAGAGATAACAAATCATACCTAAAGAAGGCAACGATCGTTCAACTATGTCCCCACAACCCAAAACCAACCACTGTCAGTCTTTTTGTCATATTTGTACCCAGGCGCTTTTCTATGTGTTTCTTTTCTAAAGTATACACAAATAGGAAGATGTATTTTGGGTTTTGTGTGTGTGTGTGTGTGTGTGTGTTTTAAGGTTTATTTATTTGAGAGAGAGAGAGAGTGCAGGGGAAGGGGCAGAGGGAGAGGAAGAGGAAGAGAGAGAATCCTCAAGCAGCCTCCCTGCTTAGGCGCAGAGCCCGACACGGGGCTCGATCCCAGGACCCCAAGATCCTGACCTGAGCTGAAATCAAGAGTCAGATGCTTAACTGACCGAGCCACCCAGGAGCACCAGTTATTTGTAATGTTCTAATTTAAAATATTTACATCTTCAGGATGCTTGGGTGGCCTCACCTGGGGCTCCGTGCTCAGCAGGGAGACTGAGATCCTCTCCCTCTGGCCCTCCCCACTGCACTCTCTTTCTCTAAAATAAAAGGACATTACAGATAAGCCATAGGCCCCTCACCCCCAATCCACCTCCACGTGGGTCTCCTCTCCCTCCTCCCAGAGGGCCTACTACTAGTTGTATCTAGTCCCTTTGTTTAATGCGTATTTATATTTTATTTCCAACAGAGAATACATATTACTGTTTTTGTTGTTGTATTTGATATAAAATGATATAAACTTACTTTTTTTACACTCTTAGACATTTACCCATATTTATACACATGGTCATAATTCACCTTACTTAATTGCTTTATAGTATTTTATCCCATGAGTCAATATATTTGATATAATATAGTACTGTATTTGCTCTACTGATAGCAAAAAATGAACTGAAACAGGTGCCCACGGTGATACGAGGGCTCCCATCTTCACATTTTCCCAAAAGGCTATGCCGTGCTCTACCCCAACCTTTGCACACCAACCATTTAGTAATCACCTCACTTTAAAATTTGCCAAACTGATGGGTGAAATGTTATTTCATTCCTGTTTGGTGTTACATTTCCATGATTACTAGGTGAGCTTAATTTTTTCTTTTCAAGTAGGCTCCACGCCCAGGGCGGAGCCCAATGCAGAGCTTGAACTTTTTTTTTTTTTTTTTTAAAGATTTTATTTATTTATTTGTCAGAGAGCGAGAGGGAGAGAGAGCGAGCACAGGCAGACAGAATGGCAGGCAGAGGGAGAGGGAGAAGCAGGCTCCCTGACGAGCAAGGAGCCCAACGTGGGACTCGATCCCAGGACGCCAGGATCATGACCTGAGCCGAAGGCAGCTGCTTAACCAACTGAGCCACCCAGGCGTCCCCAGACCTTGAACTCTTGACTCTGAGATCAAGACCTGAGCTGAGATCTAGAGTCGCCTGTGTGCGCTCTAACAAAAAACAAAAACAAAATGAGTTGGACGCTTAACTGACTGAGCCACCCAGGTGCCCCTCTGATTTCTTTTTCTAACCATAAAGATAATCCATTGTATTGACATCATTTATCAAAGAGTCTGCCTTCCCCCTACTGACTTATAAATCTCCATTAATCAGGTCATTCCCATTTATATTAACTGGGTAGTTTCCATGTCAAAGTCTTGAGAATTAGTGTATTATTACCCAACATCCTAGACATTGCTTGATCTACTAATCTGTGAAATTCCCAACAAACCTGTATTCTTATTGAGGCAGTTTCCAAACTTGGAAAAGTTTGTTTGTTTGTTTTCTTTCTCTTTTCTTTTTTTTTTTTTTTTTTTTTGAAAAGTCTTTGTTCCAAGTCAAAAGTGACTGCACGGGTGCCTGGGTAGCTCAGTGGGTTAAAGCCTCTGCCTTTGGCTCGGGTCATGATCTCAGGGTCCTGGGATCGAGCCCTGCATCGGGCTCTGCTCAGGAGGGAGCCTGCTCCCCACCCCCTCTCTGCCTACTCTCTGTCAAATAAATAAATAAGATCTTAAAAATAAATAAATAAATAAATAAATAAATAATTTAAAAATTAAAAAGTGACTGCAAAATGCTAGGCCTCATTTCGGTGTTAAACCATCAAATTCAATTCAGGTGCATATTCTTTTTTTTTTTTTTTTTTGACAGAGAGAGAGAGAGAGAGAGAGAGAGAGATCATAAGCCACCCAGGTGCCCCAAGAAATGTACTTTAAGTCCCTCAAAGACTAACCATTAAAAGTTCATGTTCCTAAAACCCCTTGTACCAAGTTTTGATTTAGCCAACTTTGATACCGAGAAGTCCAAGGAGGAAGAGGTCTAAGATTGGAAACTCAACAAAAAAAAAACCCTCAAAAATAGGGGCTCCTGGGTGGCTTAACAGGTTAAGCGTCTGTCTTCAGTTCAGGTCTGCTCAGCGGGGAGACTGTCTCCCTCTCCCCCACCCCCCTGCTCGTACTTTCTTTTTCTCAAATAAATAAATAAAATCTTAAAAAAAAAAAAAAAAAAAAAAAACCTCAGAAATATGCTACTGCTGCTCTTGACATTACCTTTTATGAACATTTGGAACTTTCTATAGAGGTAACATAACACATACAATGTTCTATACTATTATCAACCAGCAGTAAAAATCAGTCTGAAGCTTTCCAAATTGACAGCCCTTAAAACAACAATGGAGCAAGAAAGGGTCACCCCACCCCCCTCCGTTTCCCGTTGCCACACTCTGTTGCACAAGAAGCAGGATCAAAGGCATCAACGTTAAGGACACAAGTCCTCTGATAAGTATCTCTTAAATATGTCCAATTTACTGTAAATACAAACAAAACCCAAAAACCGACATTCTGAAACAACCCAAGATGGATGATTACAAAGCATGAACTCTGCCTGAGCCAGCCTATGGATTCAAGCAATTTTCTTGGTGCTGCTAGGACTTGGCCTCACCAGTACCCATGCTCTAACAGCTCCCCGTTGTCTGTCTGCATCAGGAAGTTAGGAGTACTTCCAAAGGAAACAGCTCATTACCTTGCAGCCCTACCGTGGTCATTTATTTTCATAAAATGATCTTTATTTTTACTTTTTTTTTAAAGGTTTTATTTATTTATTTATTTGACATAGAGAGAGAAATCACAAGTAGGCAGAGAGGCAGGCAGAGGTAGGGGGGAGCAGGCTCCCTGCTGAGCAGAGAGCACAATGCGGGGCTCGATCCCAGGACCCTGAGTTCATGACCTGAGCCGAAGGCAGAGGCTTTAACCCACTGAGCCACCCAGGCACCCCTTTAAGACTCTTTTTAACGTGATCTCCACACCCAACGTGGAGCTTGAACTCACAACCCCAAGATCAAGAGTTCTATGCTTCACGGACTGAACCAGCCAGGCGCCCCTGCATTAAACGATTTATTTTATTTATTTATTTATTTATTTATTTTTAAATTTTAGGTAGGTTCCATGCCCAACGTGGGGCTCAAACTCATGACCCCGAAATCAGGAGTCTCATGCTCCACTGACAGAGCCAGTCAGGAGCCCCTCCATAAAATGATTTTTAGATAAATCAAGCTCACACCCACCAATCTTATGTCTGTCTTTCATTATTAAGGGAACAGTTTTGTCTTTCATGACTAGATAATATACCAAAAAAGAAAAAAAAAGAAAAAGCACATATGAAGAATAAACAATTTTTAATTTAATTTAAATGCTCCTTTGTCTACTCAGAATTACTCCAGCCAGAAAAAATAAGGCTAGTCTGTTACTCCATCCCTTTAGTCTATAATGAGACAAGTACAGGAACTGAGAATAAGGCTTTAGAAACTTACACAGAGGGGCGCCTGGGTGGCTCAGTGGGTTGAGCCTCTGCCTTCGGCTCAGGTCATGATCTCAGGGTCCTGGGATGGAGCCCCGCATCGGGCTCTCTGCTCAGCGGGGAGCCTGCTTCTCCTTCTCCCTCTGCCTGCCTCTCTGCCTACTTGTGATCTCTATCTCTCTGCCAAATAAATAAATAAAATCTTTAAAAAAAGAAAAAAAGAAAAGAAACTTACACAGGACCTGACAGAGAAAGCTTCTGTCTGTTGAATCTAATAACTGAAAAATGGGACTTTAAACACAAATACATCTACTAGAATAGCTAACTTATATACTCCTGACTTGTCTTTCTTCCTCGGCACATCAATGAGCTCACTGAACGGACACATCAGAGTAAATGATAAAGTGGTTTATTATAAGGATGAAAGAATTAGAGCGTCGAGAAGTGCAGCAGACTGTCTAACTTGCCTGAAGGCGGGAAAGACTTCGACCTAAATCCCGTGGACCTTCTCCCTCTGCTACAGATTTCCCACATGCTTCCTTTAGCCATTGCTGTATTTCATTCCCCAAAAGAGGGAGGCAATTTTCCTTATACCCAAACAAAATCTGTCTTATTTAAACTGAGTAGGAACAAAGAAAAAAATAAACTGAGTAGAGTAGCTTGACTTTGAAGTAAACCTGGCAACAGGACTGGGGTTGACCTCTCTGCCACCAGGCGGATCTTGAATCGTTATGCCCCTTGTCATTTCATGACAAACGAACTAAAAGTAAAGACTTGTCATACTACACAACTCAGGGTGCTGTTTACCTGAAGAATCTCTAACAAACTGAACGGGGGTGAGAGGGGAGTCATTATTAGCAGGAATAATGACACATTTTTTCCTAACTTCATCAGGGGCTCTCACATATTTCTTCAGGCTCCGCAGATGGCTAACTCTATCTCCTGTCCAAAAGTGGGGACTAAAGATGAGCTGATTCTTGCTAAGTCAGGTCTGATGTGGAAGTACTTCAGAACACGGAAAGCAGCAAAACTGAAAAGCCCTGAAGATTTCTTTACCTCCAGAAGAATCTCTGCGAACGGAACACACTGGACACGAACAATAACATCTTCAGTCCAGTGAGAAAGTGACTCATTCACTGAGGAGAAACCCTGGTAACGCTCACAAAGGTTCAGGAGATCCTTCTCCCACCACGCCCACCAAGAAACACTGTCTGAGGGGCGCCTGGGGGGCTCAGTCCGTGAAGCGTCTGCCTTCAGATCAGGTCCATGATCCCAGAGTCCTGGGATCGAGCCCCGCATCGGGCTCCCTGCCCAGCAGGGAGTCTGCTTCTCCCCCCTCCCTCTGTGGCTCCCCCGCCGCCCCCACTCATGTTCTGTCTCTCTAAAATAAATAAATAAGGGGCGCCTGGGTGGCTCAATGGGTTAAGCCTCTGCCTTCAGTTCAGGTCATGATCTCAGGGTCCTGGGATCGAGCCCCGAATTGGGCTCTCTGCCTGCTTGTGATCTCTCTCTGTGTGTCAAATAAATAGATAAAATCTTTTTTAAAAAATTAAAAAATAATAAATAAATAAAATCTTTAAGAAAAGAAGAGAAGAGAAAAGAAAAAGAAGGGGAGGGAAGGGAAGACAGAGAGGGCAGGAGAGGAATCTGGTTCTTAAACCTGTTCTACGGAACAGCTTCCTCAGGACCTCTTCCTACCATTACAGCCTCACAGACTGTAATGGTAGGAAGAGGTCCTGAGGAAGCAGCCTCTTCCTTCTGGACCAGACAAGGCCTTCCCGCGGCTGCATTTCACTGAGTCAACTTTCACCTGATTCCTACTGCCTGACACACACGAGCCTTTCATTACACGCAGAAGTAATTCTCTGGCACTTGTTAAGGAAGATTCAATAAATACTTCAAAGATTGACTATCATTAAATAAATGATTATAGCTCATTTCCACATATAATTGGTAACATGGATGCTGAGAATTTACATCTGCCCCCTAAATCATCATCTGTAAGATCACAGAGGTACCCGTGTCTTGCTAAATAAGCACCTGAGCCTAAAAATCAAACAAACTTGGTCATTAAATGCTGTGGGCCAAGCTTGAAATGCCAGCACTTACTACTAAAAAGCTCTCATTAAGAGTAACAGACACTGGGGCACCTGGGTGGCTCAGTGGGTTAAGCTTCTGCCTTCAGCTCAGGTCATGATCCCAGAGTCCTGGGATCGAGCCCCACGTCGGGCTCTCTGCTCAGCCGAAGCCTGCTTCCTCCTCTCTCTCTGCCTGCCTCTCTGCCTACTTGTGATCTCTGTCTGTCAAATAAATAAAATCTTAAAAAAAAAAAAAAAAGAGTAACAGACACCAGCCTGACTACTGGACACATATTCGTGAAAGACTCTCCGTGTCCCCTCCCTGCTGCATTTCTGACATGGCGCTCACCGCAGCAGATATACATGCAGCCGTGTTCACTAACTTCCTGGTTTCATTTTTCTTTCCTCCGAACCCAGTGCGTGCAGGCACTTGGGGCAAAGCCAGGTTTCACTCCCCAGTCTCTTTCCCCAAGACACGATTTCAATTTCAAATTACAATCTATGCTAAAGCCATTTACAGAACCAGAAACTGGGGCTTCAGGAGGACTCACCATGAATGTCGCCTTCTCCCTGGAAAAGAAAAGAAATTTAAAGTTTAGTTCAGTTTTTATTTTTATTTAATTTTTTTTTACTTTATTTTTTTAGTAATCTCTAGCCAACATGGGGCTCAAACTCATGACCCTGAGATCCAGAGTCACATGCTCTTCTGACTGAGCCAGCCAGATGTCCCTAAAAATTTACTCCAGATTTTAATTTTATAACAAGCAAATAAAGCAGTCACGGTTCTGACAGGCTACTATCTGTTTGAAACCAAATGCGAAATTTCATTTTGATGCAGTCAAGTTCAGGGTCAGGCCGCAACACGATAACATTACAACCTTTAGTTACTTGTGGACAATGCTGAACAAAAATGCTACATGACGGGTTGTCCCAGTGCCACAATATCCAACACACCAAAAAACGTTAACATTTACGTCAGTGACCTAATATCAATTAGGATTTCAGAGGATCCTTTAATCAGAATGGGAAACTGGTAAATTTATCCTTCCATTCTCTCTCTCCTTTCTCTTTATCTAGCTGTTGAAGGGCCTCTATAAATTCCAAAGTCCCACACAGGTCTCTCCACACTTGCACCGCTGATGCCTCTGTGTGCTCTGAGGTCCCTGCTTACAGGCTTCCAGACACATCCCTGGGGGCACTGGGACCATGGTCCTCTGCAGACAACTGAGGGTAAAGCCCAGGCTGGAGTCTCCTGGAGTTCAGCTCAGAACAACTGGGCAATGTTTGCCAACAACAGGAACAATCTCTGAATTCACAAATGCTACTACATATGAGTTACGTAGGAAGTAAGCGTGCTCCGTTAGTTCCCAAAATCAACAGTGAAGGAGAGAGACTAATCCTACTGGTAGAAGAGACATCTGAACAGACCCAGATCATGTCACTTCACTTTTCCGACTTTATTCTTTATCGATCTTCCATTCCCAATATGGCCTCTGTCCCTCTCCTAATTATGTCAGACTCCAGTGGCAGAACTGAAGCTCTTAGTACAACAGGAGAGAAGTGAATTTCTAAACTGTATTAACCTCAAAGCCCTTGTCCCATGTTGTCACACTGACCTTCAGATCTAAGAAGTCTCCAGCGTTCGCTTCAGAAGAGTTCCTTCTCTGGGGTCCAGATGACTCAGAATCCTGTCGGCCACCACTAGACTTGGCACCTGAATTAAACCATACTTTCTTGAGGAATGGACAGAACTTAAGCGAAAACACTGCTTTCACGAGTGATGTTCGTGTTAGTCTCATATACAAAATGAGCTAACACTGTTAAGAGGGTTAACTGAGAGCTTAAAAATTCCACCAAATAACCCAATTTGACCCCAGTCCCTATTCTGACCCCTCAAGACTCAGTAGTTCCCACTTTTTGGTCCCAGTCTTTCGTCCACCGACAAGCTTTAACTGTTGTTGATCTCATTATGGTTGAGCTGGATTTTGCTCATCACAGAAAACCAACTGTAGTTATTCATACTGGGTCCATCCCTTTTGACCAGTGACCATAGATATAAGCATTACCTGCCGACTTGGCCCATGAAGGAGGATTTTCCTCAGGTGTCCCAAAGATGCTAGATGCCATTTTGTTCCTCCTCACAGGCTGTTCTGTTGGTTCATCGAAGCCTAATGAAAAATTGGATCCACCGCCTGGAGGCCGCAAAACCCTTGGAATAATGGCAAAACATCCATTTCAGGTCATACCAAAACACTTCTCGGCATAAATGTCTTCAAACCCCTTTCATTTCATTTCCCTCACCCATTTGTTCCTCCTACACAGCCCCCAGCAAGGGAGAGGAATTGATTCATCATGGTATAAATTCGGTACTGGATCACACCAGTCAGAATGGCCGGTAGTAGACAGACAAGAAACAACAGTGTTGACAAGGATGTGGAGAGAAAGGAACCCTCACGCATGGAGTTGGTGGGAACGTCAACTGATGCAGCCACTGTGGAAAACAATATGGAGGGTCCTGAAAAAACTGATAATAGAAATACCATATGAGGGGCGCCTGGGTGGCTCAGTGGGTTAAGCCGCTGCCTTCGGCTCAGGTCATGATCCCAGGGTCCCGGGATCAAGTCCCGCATCGGGCTCACTGCTCAGCAGGGAGCCTGCTTCCCTTCCTCTCTCTCTGCCTGCCTCTCTGCCTACTTGTGATCTCTCTTTGTCAAATAAATAAATAAAATCTTAAAAAAAAAAAAAAAAAAAAAAAGAAATACCATATGACCCAGTGATTCCACTCTGGATATCTACCGGAAGAAAACAAAAACACTCATTTGGAAAATATATGCACCCCTAAGTTTACTGCAGCATTATTTACAACAGCCAAGGTATGGAAGCAACCCAAGTATCCACTGATAAATGGATAAAGCAGATCTGGTACAAACAGATGCACAGTGGGGTATTACGCAGCCATAAACAAGAATGAAACCTCGCGGGGCGCCTGGGTGGCTCAGTGGGTTGAGCCGCTGCCTTTGGCTCGGGTCATGATCTCGGGGTCCTGGGATCGAGTCCCGTGTCGGGCTCTCTGCTAAGCAGGGAGCCTGCTTCCCTTCCTGTCTCTCTGCCTACTTGTGATCTCTCTCTGTCAGGTAAATAAATAAAATCTTTAAAAAAAAAAAAAAAAAAATGAAACCTCGCCACTGGAGACAACATGGAAGGATGCAGAGGATATGATGCTAAATGAACTAAGTCAGACAGAAACAAATACTACGTGATTTCACTTGATGTGGAACCTAAAAAACCAAACCAAATGAACAAACAAAAAAACCCAGAAACAGACTCACAAACACAGAGAACAAACTGGCCAGAGGGGAAAGGGTGGGGGGGGGGATGGATAAATGAGGTGAAGGGGATTAAGAGGTACCAATTTGCAGTTATGAAATAAATAAGTCACAGGATAAAAAGTACAGCAAAGGGAATATACTCAATAATGTTGTAACAGATTTGTGTGAGGACCCACGGTGACACTAGTCACCATGGTGGGCATCTCATAGTGTATAGAATTGCCAAGTGCTGTACGGTACACACCCCTGAGACTAGTATAATACTATATTGTCAACTATTCTCAATAAAAAGACTTAATATTTGCAGTAAGGTTGTCTGACACCCAGGGCAGCTGAAACAGCCTGGTTCATGTCCCCTTTTAACAAAGACCTAACAGACCTCGCCTAATGGGCGTGGCTGGATATATCGGCAAAGAAGTATGGAAGCACATCTCGTGAGTTATGTATTCATAACGCACTTCCACTTTTATTTTCAACAAAACTAAAACGCAAGAGTACACATGTAAAAGTTGATCATTTTAGAAACCCAAGGAAAGCTGATGATAGTCTCCTCCTGTCTTGGCGTCACCAGCGAGCCCCATTTACACACCTGTAAGGCATGCGGCGTCCTCACTAGTAAAGACAAGGGACCGGCCACAGGAGGAAGTCCAAACGAGACACAGGCATAAGACTCCCAGCATCTTCGATTACCAGGCACCACTGGACACCCTCTACAGCTTTCAGTTCAGCAAGGAAACCCAGCACTTGGACATTTCCAGAGCTTCCTGTCTTGGATTGATCAATGTTCTCCCTCCCTGGAAGAACTCAATTTAACTTGTCCCGTCACCACTCAGAAAGAGAAATGGACATGGTCTTACGGGATGATTTTCTAACTACTGATTCTATTCCATTATTGGGGACAGGAGTAGTCTGGTCTCCTACTTCTTCTTAAATCAGTTTGAGAAATATTTTTACAGGAGGATGTCCATGTCATCCAAGTTTCCAAATAAATAACAGTTTTCATTTGCATACAGCTCCTTACATTAGGAAACGAAGGAAAAATTAAACACTTACGGGGTAAATTCCCTTCTAAGTACCCCTCTAAGGGCATTCCAAGTCTTGATTTTTTAAAAACTACTATTGCATGCTAAATGTTTTCTCACTTCCATTATTTTTTCCTTTGGCGCATACATCATTGAAGAATATATTTATATGTTTCCAAACATAGGGGTCTTTCTGGTTTATTAATTTCTAGCTTTTAACTATAACACAGACAACTGCCTGTATGACATGAGTCCTTTGAAATTTGAGGAAAGGTGCTTTTAAAGCCTAATATGTGGTCAACTTAAGAAATCTATCTATGGGCTTGAAAAGAATGTGTATTTGCCAATGTTCTATAGGTCTACTAGGATAAAGCCTGCTAATTGTGAGTTGTTCTAATCTACTGATTTTTAAGTATGTTTTATCACTTAAGGAGAGAATCTATTAACAATTCCTACTACAATGAAGAGTTTGTCAGTTTCTCCTCAGAATTCTGTCAGGAGTTTTCTCCCAAAAAGACTGCCACTGGGGACGCCTGGGCAGCTCAGATGGTTAAGTGTCTGACTCACTTTCTGCTCAGGCCATGAGCTGAGGGTCGCCGGGTAGAGCCCCTGAGCCCACGCTCAGCAGAGGTCTGCTTGAGGATTCTCACCCTCTCCCTCTGCCCCTCCCCCCACTCACGCGTGCACGTCTTCTGTCTCTAAAATAAACAAATCTTTAAAGCAGAAGAAGGTGCCTGTTTAGCTCAGTCAGTAGATCGTGTGATTGTCGATCTTGGGGTTGTGAGTTCAAGCCCCATGTTGGGTGTAGAGATTACTTAAAAATAAAAAAAGTAGAGGGGCGGGTGGCTCAGTGGGTTAAGCCTCTGCCTTTGGCTCGGGTCATGATCTCAGGGTTCTGGGATCGAGCCCCGCATCGGGCTCTCTGCTCAGTGGGGAGCCTGCTTCCTCCTCTCTCTGCCTGCCTCTCTGCCTACTTGTGATCTCTATCTGTCAAATAAATAAATAAAATCTTAAAAAAAAAAAAGTAGAGGAATCACAAGAGGAAAATGGGACAAAAGGTACTAACAGGCAATTTAAAAATGTGGGTAGCCTCTAAACATTAAAAATGCAATCCCACTAGCAAATAAATGAAATTTTAAAAAAGGATAGGGGTGCCTAGGTGGCTCAGTGGGTTAAACCTCTGCCTCGGCTCAGGTCATGATCTCAGGGTCCTGGGATCAAGCCCTGCATAGGGATTTCTGCTCAGCGGGGAGCCTGCTTCCCCCCCCACCCTCACTCTCTGCCTGCCTCTCTGCCTACTTGTGATCGCTCTCTCTGTCAAATAAATAAAATCTTTAAAATTTTTTAAAAATAAAAATAACAATAAACAAAACAAAGGGATATGTATTTTGCTTATTAGACTGATAAATATGAAAAAAATGCCAATTTCCAGCATTAATTAAAGTATGAGAGTATAAATCTCTACAAACTTTCTTTTAAAAAAATATTTTTTTTATTAATTTGAGAGACAGAGACAGCAAGAAGCACAAGCAGGGGGGAAGGCAGAGGGAGAAGGATAAACAGACTCACTGCTGAGCCGGGAGCCCAATGCAGGGTTCGATCCCAGGACCCTGAGATCATGACTGTGCCGAAGGCTGACGCTTAACCATCTGAGCCACCCAGATGCCCCAAATTTGTACAAGCTTTCTAAAGGATATTTTGATAGCATATGTCAACTGTTCGCTTTTTATATGAACTGGCATTTCTACTTACAGAAATTATCCTTATCGGATAACCAGAAATATGTACAAGGACACTCCTATAAAAACGTTAATCTATAAATAAAATTGGTAATACCCTAACTGGCCCTTAGTAGGGGTTTAGTTATCCAAGCATGTCCATACAACAGAAAGCTGTATACATCAGGGTCAGATTTACCTTCGCTGGTAGATGTCAGAAATTATTCAAAACACAGTGAATGAAAAACGCTGGAAAACAGAAGGGCAATCACGTGTTACATAGAACAACGTATATACAGAGAGATAGACTTATCTAGCTGTGTGACCTTGGGAAAACTGCTTACCCTCTCTCTACGCTTTGGTTTTCTCTGCAAAAAGAAGAGGTTCACGGTAGCTGCCTTGTAAGGCTATTCTAAGGATAGCCTGTAGACTGTGCCTAGAACAGAACCTGGAACACAGACGGCTACGAGATACTGTCATCAGAACTAGACATAAAGGCCTGAAAGCACAAACACCACAATGTTATCCAGGGTTTGTGCTTTCAGATGGAATTTCAGGTGAATTTCAGTGTCCTGTTTTATACTTCATATTCTTCTGGATTGCCATTAATCTAAAATTCTTCTTTTTAAGATTTTATTTATCTGATAGAGAGCACAAGCAGGGGGAGTGGCAGGCAAAGTGAGAAGCAGGCTCCCTGCTGAGCAAGGAGCCCCACGTGGGGTTCGATCCCAGGATCCTGGGATCATGACCCGAATCGCAGGGAGACGTTTAACCCACTGAGCCACCTAGGGGCCCCATTTTATTTATTTTTTTTTTTAAGATTTTTTTATTATTATTATTTTTTTAAGTAATCTCTGTACTCAATGTGGAGCTTGAACTCACAAACCCAAGATCAGGAGTCCCATGTTCCACCAACTGAGCAGGAGCTCCAGTCTAAACTTCTTTTAATGGCAGCTTCTGGGTCCCGGAATTCCCGGACACTCCTTCTATCGACAGTCCTAGTTTTCCCACTGGCCACAGCGTGTGCTTGTCTGTGCGCACCCCTGTGCCCTCGCATCTTACAACTGAAACCCTGGCTCCTCTGCTCCCTCGGGTGCAGCGGACCCTGGTCTGCGCTCCCTAACGCCGCGCCCCTTCCTACCTTGTTCCTCTTCCCCGCAAACTAGCAGGAGGAAGCCTTGGTTAAGCCCAGGCAGGACTGAGGAGATGTGACCAACAGCAGGGCTCTCTGTCTTATCTAGATCTTACCTTCTTCACCAATCCAGCCGAGCCCCTTTCCTCACCTTTCCCTGAATAGTTGGTTAATCTCCACTTTGAGGTATTTACTCCCATTTTTACTCCGGCCTAGAGCACTCTCTACCCTTTCTTCAAGGGCTCTTCAAAACCTAGCCCATCTCTTAAACCTCCACGTCCTCCATAAAGTCGATCAATAGAACCCTCCATAGGCTCAAAGAGTATCGGGTCGTACATGGAGGAAAGGATGGCAGATCCTCTCCTAATGGTGTAAAGTGCCCGAGAAAGTAAATGTCTTTGGCCTGTGGGTAATGCAGTCTTTTTTTTTCCCCCCAAGAATTTATTTGTTTATTTGACAGAGAGAGAGAAAGAATACAACCAGGGGGAGTGGGAGAGGGAGAAGCAGCTCCCCACTGAGCAGGAGCCCGATGTGGGGCTCGATCCCAGGACCCTGGTATCATGACCTGAGCCACCCAGGCACCCATGGGTCATGTGGTCTTTGGAACTATTCAGTCTGTCATGTAGCACAAAGGCAGCCACAGACAATCTGAAAACGAACGAGCACAGCTCTGTTCAAATCAAGTTTTATTTACAAACATTGCATTTGATTTTCATGTAATTTCCACAAGTCAAGAAATGAATCTTTTTTTTTTTTTTACAACCATTTATGAATATAAAAAATTAGGCACCCGCTGCATTTGGCCCTTGGGTGATAGTTTGCTGGGCTCTGTTCTATCTAATTCAACAGCCTCACTTTTAATGGCTCAGTTGGTTAAGCGTCTGTTTCAGCTCAGGTCATGGTCTCATGGGTTGTGGGACTGAGCCCCATATCTGGCTCCGTACCCAGCAGGGAATCTGCTTGAAATTCTCTCTTTCCCTCTCTATCTACCCCTCTGCCCACTCGCTCTCGCTCTCTCTCAAATAAATAAATCTTAAAAAAAACAAAAAAGGCAAGTGTATCCAGGCATACAATTTATAAAGATGATAATTGTAGGTTTATTTAATTAAGCTGCTTAAATCATAATTAAATGTGTATTATAAATTCTTAATAGGCTTTCTCTCATGTTAAAGTTTGAAGCAACCAGCTTTTTATCCCTTGTTCCTCAAATCAACAAAGACACCTGAAATAAAATCAAAATTAACTTGCTTCAATATCATCCCCTTCACTCCCTAGAGAGTAGAATGATTTTTTTTCCTTTCCATAATTAAACCCTCATGAATTATTTTACCAAGATGAAAATCTCCAGAACCCTAAGAGGCTGGGAAGTATTTTGGGGTGTTAAAAAAAAGGGAAAAAAAAAAAAGAATACTAGCACCCAAACACCAGCTTAAAAAGAAAGTCAAAGCTCTGAGCACCCAACTTTTTAAAGGTCTGCGTTCCTCCCACAATAGCAGGTAATACCTACTCCGATGACGTCATTGTTGTAGAGCCCATTTGTAACAGTGAGACATCCCCAAACAAAGGATTTGGATCATAAGACAGAAATTATTTCAGTTTAATTTTTTAAGATCCTATTCTTTCTGAACTAAACCAGGATTACATATTTGAGACTCAACAAAAATGTGCCCATGAACTATGGATAGCAATTTTTTAAAAATTACTTTCTCTTTCTTCTTTCTTTAAACCCCAGAGTTCGCACGTGATCTTTGCAGATCATTCCCCTACTAGCCTAAATTTATAATGTGCTTATGGAGCCAGGAAAATGTTACTGCAGAAACAAGTGGAGAATTCGGTGAGATTACAGAGGAAGGAAAGGTAAGAAGTAAACACAAGGACAAAGCTCTAGTCCTGAGGTCACAATATTGGAGGGAAACTGATGACAAAAGGTGAATGAAAACATTTATTCTGCAAAACAAAAAAATAACTCCTGTCTCACATTTCCAATATACATATCAAAAAACTAGCATGAGGATTCATTTGACCTGGTTACTGAAATTCTTTATGAAGCACTAAACAGAACTTAACCCCAAAAGATAATACCTGATTTTTTTACATAATGTGTCGATTTTCACATTCCAATCACTACAGTCTGACCAGCACAAAGTTGACCACATGGCACAAAAGAAAAACCAAGGTTCAGTGTGTTCCATTGCCCTCTGAAAAAAATGATCTCATTGCAAGGATGACAACAGAAGAGGGAGTGACCAGTATTTTCATAGGTCTGTCCTAATCAAGGTCCCCAACCTGCCAGGACCAACCAATTTATAGTTTTTTAAATCTTTCCCACTCTTTTCTACATTGTATAAGGGAAAGGAATGAGTTGAAAAGGGATGTCAACCTCCCACCCAAGACTCACTGCTGAGCCCAGTTTTTTGTCCCCAAGTTCTCCAACCCCAGTGAAGCACTATTTCACAGCCGTCTTCTTAGCCCCACAAAATGGCTCCCTTTGTGCCACTTGCCCAGGACCCCAAGGCTGATCGCACACGACAGCAGGTCGTGATCAATGAAGAAGAGATGCCCAGAAAAAGTGGAACCTAAGCTTCCTACAAGCCTTGAGCAGGATCCCAGAAATGTCTGTATCCACCTTAAAAGAACAGTGTGCAATTAGCCGAGACAATGTGGACACCTTCCACCGATTACAGACCCTTTCACCAAGTCAGGCAAGGGCTTGGAAAAGGGTTCCAGTCCAAACACCCAGTGTCCTCTTCCCCAAATGCCGTAGCAAGACTGGCCAGAAAGGCCCTGGCTTCCCAGGTGGAGACAGTACGGAAGAGACAATGGACGTCTCCGGCCCCGCCCAAGAACAGGAAACCTCCTCCAGCTCGGGAACCCGGGCCAGCGACGAACTCATTTGGCAAACGTCAAAGGGGTTAGGGAAAGAGGTGGGATGCAAAGACCGAGGTCCGAAGGTTTGAGCGCAGAAAACCCACTCGGACTGGCTCACCACCCACCCCCGTCTTTCGCGTTTGGAGGTGGGCGCGGGAGGGGAAGGAGCAGGGTCTTTCCTTTGTTAGCGGAGGGGAAGCACTTCGCAGAGGACTGACGGCTGGGTCCCGGACGGGCGTGGGGGTCGCAATGACCAGCCCCGCCCGACCACAAATGCCACCTGCCGGACGGGCCCCAGCGGGTAGGAGCCCGCAAGACTCGATCGCTGCGGCCGCAAGAGGTGACAGCCGCACGGGGCGCGGGGCCGCCACCTGCCCGGGGCCAGAGGCATGAGCGCGTGGCCAGGGGTGGGACAATGGGGCCTGACTGGGGCGCCCCGGGGGCTGCCCAAGCACCTGGGGGCCAAGACCACCGCCCTGAAGCCGGGCCAGCCGCGCCGCAAAGGGAAAGAAGCGAACCGTCTCCGCATGGCCTGACTACCAAAATCCCGCAGCACTGCGAGGGCGAGCGGCCCCGGCCCTCCTCGGCCGACCCCTCGCTCGGGGGGCAGGAATGAATGGGAGAGGAGCGGGAATCGGGCGGGGCTGGCGCGCCGGGCTTGCGGGACCGCACAAAGACGGAGCCGACGGCCGAGCACCGCCGCCCGCCCCGGCACGAGCGCGGCGCCGAGGCACGTTATCGCCAACGACCGGCCCCCCGGCCTCAGTGGCCCCACCGGGCAGCGGCCCTCCCGCCCCCGCCCCCGCCCCCCGAGCTCCTCGTGGGGCGGGTGCGGCCCCGCAGCCTCACCGGGAGCTATTCCTGCTGTTGGGATCGACTCCCTTGAAGGTGGTGGTGGTGGTCATGGTGCCGAGGAGCGAGGTAGGCTGAAGCGGGAGCAGAGCGCTGAAAGGGTCGGGTCCGAGGGGCGCAGAATTGCTCCCCACCCCACCGCCAGCGACCGCTGCAGGAGCCTCCGCCACCGCCTGCCTCGCCGGCCGCAGCCTTTATAAGGCTCGAAAAAGCCCGCCCCCACCCTGCCGGTATTGGCCAATTCAAATAGCCTTTTTCGTTCCTATTGGCTCCCTGGAGTGCCAAGCATCGTGCGGCACCTCGACGGGCTGCCGTGGCCCCAGCTCAGCCTAAACCCGCCCCCTTCCTGGTCAGGGTGTCTTTAGAAGTTCCCCCTCCCCCATCCCCAAATCTCGGTGATGATTGGACAAAAGGACGAACCTGCCCCGCGCTGGGCACAAGTTGTGCTCGCTGTCACTTAAGGAAGTTACCTGACCAAGGAAAAACTCGCCCTGGGCGGGTTGGAACCCACAAGCCGAGGACAGATTGTCTTTACCATTACTTAACTTGCCTTACTCATGGAGAGACAGTAAGGCACGCTCCTTAAGGGAAGAAAATTACTGCCACAAACTGACATTCATTGAATACCTACTGTGTGTCCCGTTTGGCAACATGACAGTCTCAAAACAGCAGCACTATGAGTCAGCAGCAGAAAGCAAGCCAAGATGATCCCTTTTCAAACGACTGGAAATTCTTCACATTTTAATATTATTTAGCTGTCATGGGTGGTGCATGTACTGGACCAAAATTACAGTCGCTCCGGTTTGAGGGCCTGTTCTAAGGCTGGGTAATGGTTGAGGTGGTGGGGAACAGTCACATCCCTTGCTACCAAGACTATGGAGCAGCCCTGGCCTCTGCAGCTGTTTATAACCCTTAAGTCATGACTCTTCCACCTGTCTGCGTAAATCTATCCCTGCAACAAATGCAGACACCACTTGGAGGGCTCAAGAATGGCTGTTTACAAGATCCTAAAAGGAAAGTCTTGAACAAACGAGAATGGAGGCCTCCCCATGTCAGGCATGCTTCCTCAAGGCAGACCCTTTTCAGTATCTCCATAAAAATTAAGCCACATTCCTTTTTGTGTGGCCTCCTTTCCCGGCAGTTGGAAGCTTGTATTCTTGGTTGACCACTCTCCTGGGTTTTCGTGAAAATCCAGAGATAAGTTCTCTTCTAGAAGGCATGGATCACGTCTGTATGTGCTGACCACTTGTTTGGATTAAAATCTGCCCATTCTTAAAGGCTGGGCCTAGATTTCCAAAACTTTTATTTTTGATCATTTATTTTTTCCCAAAACTTAAAAAACAAAAAGCCCTTCAGACCAAGCTAGACAGTGAGCAGGCGCGCCTTCCTTGTAAGTCAGACAGTTATCAAGTAGGAGGTAAAGCAGTCTAGGTTGGTCGCTATCTCAGGTTCCCATTGGAGAAATCAGAGCTTGAATCTGGAATTTTTCTGAGAGCTAGTTTCCCATTTGTAAAATAAGGACAAAATAGTATTTCAGGTGCAGAGTTGTGAGGGCTGAATGAGGTAATGTATGGGAAGTGATTGGTTCAAAATGTAAGAGGTCATCAAAGTGATAGCCATGCTGATGGCAAGACACACTTGGGAAGTAATCACAAACTTCTTAATAATCTGAATTTGTCTCTTATGGGTTAAATGAGAGGTTTGGACAAATCTTCCAGTGGGTCTTTGTTTTTAAGCAAGCTCCACACCCAACATGGGTTGGGTTTAACTCATGACCCTGATCAAGTCTCTTGCTCTACTGACTGAGCCAGCCAGGCACCCCAAGGTGGGTCCCCCTTTTGGTCTAAACTTTTGAGTTCCTGCTTGACTTGCCCGATTTCCTCCCTGCCCTGTAGTATAAAAGGCAGGTTGGCGTGGTAATGCAGCACTGGATTGGAAACCAAAAAGCGTAGGTTCTGGTTCTCCTCCCTTAAAGAGACATTTTTTTTTTTTTTTTTTTTAAAGATTTTTTTTGACAGCATGCACAAGCAGGGGGAGCAGGAGAGAGAGAGAGAGAGAGAGAGAGAAGCTGGCTCCCTGTTGAGCAGGGAGCCTGATGCGGGGCTCCATCGCAGGACTCTGGGATCATGACCTGAGCCAAAGGCAGATGGTCAACCAGCTGAGCCACCCAGACGTGCCTAAAAAGACACTTCTCCCATAAGAGACACGTCTGGGCCACTTAGGTTGTTTTTTTTTTTTTTTTTTTTTTTTAATATATACTCTTGAGCCCAGTTTCCTCATCTGTAAATGGGGTTAACCTATTTAAGTTGTTGTAAAGGTTGAAACAAGATAATTTTAAGAATGTTGTACTTGGTAGGGACATCAGGCTGGCTCAGGAAGTACAGCATGGGACCCTTGATCTCAGGGTTGAGTTTGAGCCCCACATTAAGTGTGGAGATTACTTAAAAAAATAAAATCTTTGGGGCACCTGGGTGGCTCAGTGGGTTAAGCCTCTGCCTTCAGCTCAGGTCATGGTCTCAGGGTCCTGGAATCGAGCCCCGCATCAGGCTTTCTGCTCAGCAGGGAGCCTGCTTCCCTTCCTTTCTCTCTGCCTGCCTCTCTGCCTACTTGTGATCTCTCTGTCAAATAAACAAACAAAATATTTTAAAAATAAATAAATAAATAAAATCTTTAATAAAAAGATTATGGGGTGCCAGGGTGGCTTAGTCTTTAAGTATCTGCCTTTGGCTCAGGTCATGATCCCAGGGTCCTGGGATCGAGCCCACATTGGGCTCCCTGCTCAGCGGGGAGCCTGATTCTCCCTCTCCAGCTCGCTGTGCTTGTGTTCCCTCTCTGTCATAAAGAAATAAAATCTTAAAAAAAAAAAAAAAAGTTGTACTTGGTAAACTAAAGCTTTCTACTAGAGCTGCCCCATCCTGGCTGCACATCAGAATAACCTAGAACCTTTTAAGGAATACAAATGAATGCCAGCCCTATCTGAGATATACCGAATTGGAATTTCAGTTGGGGGAGGCAGGGCGGGTAGAGTCTAACCATGGGTATCTTTAAGAACCTAAACAGGTCACGTGTGGCTTGGGCTGAGAACCTTTGCTTCAAAGGTAAGAGATCAGTCCCGAGGAACCCTTTTAATCTAATGATTTGTGAAGAAGAATAAATTATGTAAAGCATATCTGATTAAGGCCATAGGAAAGGCCTGTTTGGCGCATTGTATTTTAAAGTAAAATTGCCAGGGGTATCTGGCTGGCTCAGTTGGTGGGCATGTGACTCTGGATCTCTGGGTCGGGAGTTCAAGCCCCACATACAGCTTACTTAAAAATAAAATAGGGTTGCCTTTGTGGCTCAGGTCATAACCCCCGGGTCCTGGGATGGAGCCCTGCATCGGGCTCCCTGCTTACTGGGGAGTCTGCTTGTCCCTCTTCCTCTGTTCCTCCCCCTGCTCGTGTTCTCTCTCAAATAAATAAAAGCTTTTAAAAAAATAAGAAAGAATCCTGCCTTAAGTAAAATTGCCAGAAATTTCCAGAATAACAAGCCTTTCCGTTGACTTGTTCATGTCCATAATAATTTTGACTAAAATCACTGTACTCCACTTTTTTCTCCAAGTCAAGAGATTTGGGATAAAACATATGATATACAGGTTTGCTATAATGACCTTCGCACCAGATGACCAACTCCATTGAAAACGGGACATTAATAAAATTACAGTCTGTTCAGGCGCCTGGGTGGCTCAGTGCATTAAAGCCTGTGCTTTCGGCTCGGGTCATGATCCCAGTGTCCTGGGATGGAGCCCCGCATAGGTTTCTCTGCTCAGCAGAGAGCCTGCTTCCCTTCCTCTCTCTCTGCCTGCCTCTCTGCCTACTTGTAATCTCTGTCAAATAAATAAATAAAATCCTTAAAAAAAATTACAGTTTGTTCAAAAGATCAACACAGATCAGATCAGTATCAAAAGATTCAAAAGGATGGCTGTTCTCAAAATCATGAAGGCCCATCGTTGATTTGTAAAATTCATATTGAGGACTCAAAGTCAATACAAAATTTGTTCTGAACCCTTAAGTTGACCTAAAAACCTAATGAAATATTAGATGAATTCTTATGACAAGGAATGGTCCAACAGCTATTTCATGACTATAAGCAATGTTTTTCAAACATTTATGAAGCAGAATCCAAATATATAAAATAGATGAGCAGACCAGCTGTGACTGAAAGTGAGCAGAGGGTCCGAAATCCTGGCCCCTTCCACTTCTCCATCCCTGGCTGGCCTTCTCTCCACTGTCCTCTTTTGCACAACCCCATGGTTCCACGCAATTTCAAAACCACGGCCCTCTATGTATGTTCCGTTTTCACCTGCTTTTTAAACACAGTGAAGGGGGGCATGAGCAGTTAGCCATACTCTGCACAATTTCTCACATCTTTAAGCAGTCAGTGCCCCCTGATTTCACTTAGTCCCATGCTGCTGCCACTTCCCTACTATCTTCCAAGTACTAGGCTTTCATTTGTATTTCAATTCAGAAAGCCTAGTGATCAGCGTTCCCAAAAGGTTTTGGTAAACCCAGTATTCTCAGAATTTCCTCAGAACACAGTCTATTGTTCTGAAGCAGGTGGCAAGAAATTACTATTTAAAAGATGTCAAAAAATGTTTAAAGCCCTAATAATTTTCCTTTAACATGGACATAAATCCTGTTGGTTTTTAAATTTGTTACTGGGTATGTGGAGAGTTTTATTCAAGAATGCAATGTACAACTTACTCAGAATAGAATAATCTGGAAGTCATTCTTCACCACTTGAAGCCTACTAAGGTAATAAATAAATTTAAATGAAACACAAAAAGATGTATTGACATAGCATCTCTTAGCTCTCAAGCATGTTTTTTGCCTTGAACTTTACCAACTTTGTTCTCAATCCATTTCAATCTGCCCCAATTTATTCCAGAATGCCAATGGAAATGGGCAATCTCCAGCACCTCATTATTGGGATTTACTCTACCGAGATTATGCAATCAAGTTTGAACCAATTTCTTAGATTAGTGTCTCTCACACTCTGATCCAAAACACACATACTGGGTTGAACCCATATGAAATTGCAGACACTGGACTATTTCTGACCTACAAGAACAGTAATTGTTTTTGTTCAACCATACTTTAATGCATTTTCTTTGTTTTCTTAAA